GCGCCGCCGGGCTACGTCGGCTACGAGGAGGGCGGCGCGCTGACCGAGGCGGTGCGCCGGCGGCCCTACCAGGTGGTGCTGTTCGACGAGATCGAGAAGGCCCACCCGGACGTCTTCAACGTGCTGCTGCAGGTGCTCGACGACGGCCGCCTGACCGACGGCCAGGGCCGCACGGTGGACTTCCGCAACACCCTGATCGTGATGACCTCCAACCTGGGCTCGGAGGTGCTGGCGCACCAGGAGCCGGGCCAGGACAGCAGCGCCGTGCGCGAGCAGGTCATGGCCGTGGTGCGCGGCGCCTTCCGGCCGGAGTTCCTCAACCGGCTGGACGACATCCTGCTGTTCCACCGCCTGACCCGCGAGCAGATGACCGGCATCGTCGACATCCAGCTCGCGCGCCTGGAGAAGCTGCTGGCCGACCGCAAGATCGAGCTGGAACTGGACGAGGCCGCCAAGCGCTGGCTGGCCGACGCCGGCTACGACCCGGTCTACGGCGCCCGGCCGCTCAAGCGGGTGATCCAGCGCGAGCTGCAGAACCCGCTGTCGGAGATGCTCCTGGCCGGCAAGATCGCCGACGGCCAGAAGGTCCAGGTCAGCGCCAGCGCGCTGGGCCTGATCATCGACGGCCAGACGGCGACCAGGGCGGCCGAGTAGCCCGGCCGCGGGTCGCGCGGCGGCGCGTTGCTCGTCCCGGGCGCGCCGCCGCCCCTGGCCTGCGCCGGCCCGGGTGCGTTAGCATCGTCCGCGATGAACGAGGCGGATGCAGTCTTCGAGCAGGCGTCGGCGGCCCTGGCCGCCGGCGACGCGACGGCGGCCGAGGCGGGCTATGCCCGCCTGCTGGCGGCCAACCCCCAGCACATCGCCGCCCTGCGCGGCCTCGCCGCGGCGCTGAAGGCGCAGGACCGCGGCGCGGAGGCGGCCGACCAGCAGGCCCTGGCCGACGCGCTGGAGGCCGACGCCGTGGCGACCAGCGCCGGCGAGCTGCTGCGGGCCGGCCGCCTGGAGCTGGCCGAGAACAGCTTCCGCAAGGCCCTGGCGATCGACCCCGACAGCACCGCCGCGCACAAGGGCCTCGGCGACCTCGCGCGCCTGCGCGGCGCCTTCGCCCAGGCGCTGGAGCACTACCGCGCGGCGCTGGCGGTCAATCCGGACTTCCTGCAGGCCCGCGCCGCCGCCGGCGCGCTCGACGGCCGGCCGCTGGCCGCCCCGCCGGCCGGCCTGACCCTGGCCGTGCCCTTCGTGCATCGCCGCGAGTTCCTGCCCCGGGCCTGGCGGGACACGGCCTTCGCCTACGGCCTGGAGCACCTGGGCGAAATGCAGGACGCCACGGTGGTCGAGGACGGCGACCATCAGGTGCAGGCCCAGTCGCGCCAGGCCCGGCTGCTCTACGAGCCGCCGGAGATCATCGCCTGGTTCCTGCCGCGCATCGAGGCGGCGCTGCCGGAGGTCTTCGCGCCGCTGGGCGTCGCGCCCTTCACGCCGACGCGCATCGAGCTGCAGATGACCCTGCACAGCGGCGGCCACTTCTACCGCGCCCACCGCGACGTCTCCGGCCCGGAGGAGGCGCGCAGCGAGATCGACAGCCGGCGCATTTCCTTCGTCTACTACATGAGCCGCCGGCCGCGCCCCTTCCGGGGCGGCGAGCTGCGGCTCTACGACAGCGACCTGGGCGGCTGGCGCTTCTGGGAGGAGCAGATCTGGTCGCGCATCGAGCCGGACGACAACTCCATCGTCTTCTTCCCCAGCGCCGCCATGCACGAGGTCTGTCCGGTCGAGCTGGACAGCGACGACCCGGCCGACGGCCGCCTGACGCTCAACGGCTGGGTGCACGGCCCGGCGTAGGCGGGACCACGCCAGCGGGGGGCTCCGGCCAGGGGGGCTCCAGCCAGGGGGCCCCAGGCGGGGGGCCCCAGGCGGGGCGGCGCTAAAAGCCGGGCAGGCCGCCGCGCATCCACATCCAGAGACCGAGACCGGCCAGCAGGGCCGCCAGCAGCAGCCGCAGCAGCGGCGCCCAGGCCCCGCGCAGGCCGAGGCCGAGCAGGGTGAAGATCCCCGGCCGGGGCCGCACCCCCGCCTTGGCCAGGCTCGGCCGCGCGCGCAGCCGCGCCCAGTAGGCCGCGACCGCCGGCCGCGCCCCGTCGCGCCAGAGGCCGGCGTAGCCGAGCCCCTCCAGCCGCGCCAGCAGCGCCGCCCAGAAGATATCGGCGAGATTGACCTGCGCCCCGGTCAGAAAGGGACGGTGCGCCAGGGCCGCCTCGGCCCGGTCGAGCGTCACCTCGAGCTGGCGCTCGGCGGCGCCGACCCGCTCGGGCCGCGTCAGATCCCGCGCCAGGCGAGCCACCGCCTCCCCCTCCTCGGCGTAGCGCGGCGCCAGCGCCGGGTTGGCCGCCGCCCGATCCTCCAGCCGGCGATAGCGCCGCTTCAGGTGCCAGCGCCCCAGGCGCGGAAAGCGGGCATAACCGAGCAGCTCCAGCGGCAATGCCTGGACCAGATCGATCCAGGGCTGCGCCTCGTCGCGATGGTCGAGCAGCGGACCGACGAAGGCGCCGTCGACGTAGCGGCAAACCGCCTCGGCCCCGGCCGGACAGCGGGTGCCGTGGCGCAGCACCGGCAGCGTCAGGTCGGGGCTGAGCGCCAGGAACCAGGGGTCGTAGAGGTCGAGGCCGAGCAGCGGGTCGAGCCGCCGGCGGCGCCAGCGCAGGCCCTTCTCCACCAGGCAGAGCCGCGCCACCTGGCAGGCGAAGGACAGCGGATGCTCGTAGAGCTGCGGGACCTCAGGGCGGGGAGTGCCGGGAGGGCGGGGAGTGCCGGGGGCGCTGCGGGCCATGGGCGCGACCTTAACGGCCGGTCGGCGGAAACACCAGATTGAGCGCGTCGGGCAGCACCCGCACCTCGGCCGGCAGGGCGGCGATGATGTCGCCGTCGCCCTGCAGCGGGTCCTCCGGCGGCCCCTGGATGCGCACCTGCCGCCCCTCGACGACGCGAAAGTCGGACAGGCGCGGCAGCAGCCCCAGCACCAGGGCGGCGGCGTACTTCAGCGCCGCCAGCCGGCCCGGCGTGTCGAACAGGCAGACCTGCAGGCTGCCCTGCTCCAGCCGCGCCCGCGGCGCGATCACGAAGCCGCCGCCGTAGTGGCGGGCGTTGGCGGCCACCGCCGAGGCGACCTCCTGCGCCACGCCGTCGATCTCGACGCGATAGGCGGGAAAGCCGAAGCGGCCGACCTGGCGCAGCGTCTCGTAGACGTAGGCGCCCTTGCCCAGGCGCCGCTTCAGCCCCTTGCCGACCTGCGCGACCACATGCGCGTCGAAGCCGACGCCGGCCATCAGGGCGAAGCGGCGACCGTTGGCCTCGCCCAGGGCGACGGGCCGTGCCGGCCCCGCCAGGATCGTGTGCGCCACCCGCGCCGGACGCACCGCCAGGCCGAGCTCGCGCGCCAGCACATTGGCGGTGCCCAGCGGCAGCAGCGCCAAGGGCGTGGTGCCGCCGCCCAGCGGGTTGCGGCCCAGACCGTTGAGCACCTCGTTGATCGTGCCGTCGCCGCCGGCCACCACCAGGCGGTCGCAAGCGCCGGGCGCCAGCGTCGCCGCGAAGTCCTCGGCATCGCCGCGCCGGCCGGTCGGCCGCTCCACCACCGCGACGCCGGCCCGCCGCAGGCGGTCGAGCACGGCGCGGTAGCGCTGGCGCCGGGCGCCGCCGGCGGTGGGATTGAAGATCACCTGCACGCAGCGCACCGCCGGCACCCCGGGGGGAACCGCGGCAGCCCCGCCGCGGGCCGGGGACAGGGTGTCGAACGCCATCTCAGGGCCGCTCACGACAAGTATTCACTTCGCTTTCCGTGACAACATCTTGGCAGCACCCCAGTCGTTTCAATCCGGTTACGCTATCGTGAATTTTCAAGGACGCCTCGGCTGAAGAATAGACGCAGATCTCCATATATTGTTATACGCCCGACGACAACAAAAGACCGGCACGCCCCGAAGTTCGACCCCGGGCGCGCCCCCGTCACGACGACTCCGCCCCAGGAGTTCATCCGCCCAGGAGTTCAGGAGCGAGGGCAGAGGATGCACGGAACGCTCGGCCCCCGGCGGTATCGCGCCATCTTCATCTCCGACATCCACCTGGGCACGCGCGGCTGCCAGGCCGACTACCTGCTGGATTTCCTGCGCCACACCGAGTCGGACTATCTCTACCTGGTCGGGGACATCTTCGACGGCTGGCGGCTGAAGCGCTCCTGGTACTGGCCGCAGGCCCACAACGACGTGGTCCAGAAGCTGCTGCGCAAGGCGCGCAAGGGCACCCGGCTGATCTACGTCGCCGGCAACCACGACGAGGCGCTGCGCCACTACACCGGCGTCCACTTCGGCGGCGTCGAGGTCTGCAACGACCATATCCACGAGACCGCCGACGGCCGGCGCCTGCTGGTGATCCACGGCGACGCCTTCGACGGCGTGGTCAAGTACGCCAAGTGGCTCGCCCTGCTGGGCGACTGGGCCTACACCTGGATGCTCTGGGCGAACACCTGGTTCAACCGCGCGCGCCGGCTGCTCGGCTTCGGCTACTGGTCGCTCTCGGCCTACCTGAAGCAGCGGGTCAAGAACGCCGTCCAGTTCATCGACAACTACGAGCAGGCGGTGGTCGAGGAGGCGCGTCGGCGCGGCGTCGACGGCGTGGTCTGCGGCCACATCCACCACGCCGAGCAGCGCGAGATCGACGGCGTCCTCTACATCAACGACGGCGACTGGGTGGAGAGCTGCACGG